GGAGAGAAACTCTAGCTTCGCGAAGAAATATGCCACGGACAAGAGTAATTAATCACTTGCGTTGACTATTGTCTTCCCGCTCGCGTATTGTGCCGCCTGAGAAACTGCAGCAATGTCCGTAATTAAACGTGAATCATCCCCTGGGATAAAACACGGCGTTTGCATTTTCATTCTGTCTCATGAGTGCTATAAATTTATTCCGTGCTACTCATTCGCTATTAACCCGCATTCTCTTTCGCATTAAATGCGGTCTATTCTTATTTTATGTTTGTATCACGTGAAAATAGTGTTTATGGCTCTAAAGCGCTATAATGTTTGATTAGAGAATTATAATTAGGTAAACACTAGAAATTTTATATTATTGTACATATGTGTGTGTATATATAATATATATATATTTAGATGAATTAATCCTAGAATGCTATATTATTGAATTATATAGTATCGTCAATAAAGAAATTTTATGTACAGTGAAATAAGTCACTCTTAACTAATGCAATACAAGTTTTTCATATATTTTATTTTTAATAACAAAATATTTATAATTTTGATTTTTATGAATACAGATAATCTAATTATTAATTTAAATAGAAAGAAAGAATAAGTACACTATAAATTCAATTTTCAAATGATATGAAATATGTAATCCAAATTCATATGTGCGTCTTCTCATATGTTTAAATAAAATACATGACAAAATTTAAAAAAAAAGTAAAATCACTTATCACGCTCTTTATTACAAGACTATCCACTAGGAGATCTAAACTGATACATACAAAAAGATAGAATTTTTAAAAACTTTCTCTTTGCTTATCCTTTTAGCTTATAACAGGTTAGACCTCCTAATGAATATTGAAGGCATAGCTCAGCTCTTAATAATCTTGTTTATTTATAAGTTTTACGTATCGATAGCATTCTAGAGTTAATAATACTGTTTAAATCATTTAACAGATTTTACCGTTTTGATAGAATCTTGAAAAAATGTAGTATTACAAATAAAATTGTTTCACAATAATACATAACGCGATTGAATTAACAATTATTTTGTTTTAATAATATATATAACTCAAATAATCCACATAAATCACGAAACAATCACATGATGAACTGAAAGAATTAGGTCATTCTTTGTTACGTGAACGAGCAATTCTCACGGTTCTAATCATGATTCGTTATTCTATTTTCAATTCCAATTCTCACAACTCCGAACACGTACACTAGAGAAACCGCAACATTGATAGTAGCTAAAAAAAAAAACTAATGGCGCCTCCGAAAGCATCCGCTCCGCGCGATCGTGGCGAAACCTTAATTCTTGGCGGTTTCTGCAGGCTTTGTAGGAGGCAACGATTCGAGAGAGACCCCGCCATTAGCGGCGTCGGCGGACAAAGACCTGACAAGTTTATGGCACTTTCGACGGATTTATTTTCCAAGCAGCTGAATCTAAATGTCCGTTTTCGAGAGCGTAACCAATTTTGGAGCCACAAAAATTGTGTCATTATAAGCTTTCCACGAATTTTCACGAGATGAATTCCATATTTTGCTACAAATCGAATACTATGCAAAAGAATTATACAAAATGTTTTAACGAAAAAGAGATGTTAAAAACACGTTCGGAAACTCTAAGTCAATATAGCTATTAAATTAGGTATTATGTTGTTCCTACATAAATTATAATTTAATAAGATTATTATACATGTATTTTTGAAACGCATCTAAAAATATATGTGCTAGTATCGATGATACGTTGTAATATTTATCAGTTAGTAACTATGTCATGCATCGTCGTGCACTTACCCCGTGTTGAACGCTGTACCGACATCGAGCGGCATGTCCGGAGCACAGGCAACGTCCTCCGATATTGATTTCCTTTATTGAATAAAATGCACGTCTCTTATCAGCCTCGCCGTTACGTCGGAGACTTTGAAGACGGAGCCGCACAAATCTGGCCTGAGTAAATTCTTGCAGAGTCGCACTGTGATTCAGAGCCCCGGGTCGACCGTTCACCAAGTGCGTGTGGATCTTTCAAATAAAGAATTCGAATTCCCATTAACAACACATTCTCACAACAATTTCTCTCGTTAAGTAGTTTATAGTATAATATAATATTACCTATTAACAAATATATACGATATTTGAGAGAGAGAGAGAGAGAGAGAGAGAGATTGCAATAATAAAAAATATAATTCGATAATAATTTAATTTCTTATCTACATTCGAAAAATTTGATCCCAAAGTATATTTCTAATTATAATTTTATTGCAAATATATAGTTTTAAAAATAAGAAAGGATCTCTATTTTTATTGCCTAAATATAACATTAATTATATAATTAATTTTAATAGTGAGAAGAAAAGGAAGCAAATAAAATCAGAGCAATGTCTGTACTCTTATGGTACGGTTGTTGAACGATCAGCGACGGTCAATTAGCGTCGGCGGGCGAAACTACTAAATTCCAGAGACATGGGCAAAGAAGTAAATCATCCCCGAATGGCGCCGCGTGCTAAGAATGGAACGGCGAGTTCCATAAACGGAGAGCATACGGTACCTAATAAGGAACAATCGCTTGTATTTAGAATACCAAGCGATCTTTCGTTGATTGCCAAACTTTGTCTTTAATTTTTTTTGTTCATGCTTCCAACAAATCAACAAAGTATCTATGTACGTATTGATTGTTTTTAATATTTGTGCATAACCTCACGAAAAGGACAGTTTTGCTGAAGTATCTACAAATTTAGCTAGATATATATACGACCCAAAAAATAATTTTGTTAGATCATCAAAATAATTATGTAGAACATCCCAACTGGGATTAGAATTTCGAAACTTTTGCAGTATTGCTCTTCATGCTTGAGATGCATTTCTACGTAATTATTTTGACGGTCCAATAGAATTATTCTTATCTTTAAGTCTGTGTGTGTATCTAGTTAAATTTTTTAACAGTTCAGCAAAATCGTTCTTTTCATGCTATTACGTTTCCATTCTCTTTCACTTTCTCATCTTCCTATTTTTATTTGAAGAGATTTCTCCAGAAGCTGCAATACTGCGTAATTTCCAAAATAATATTTATTTACTGGAAAAAATTATTAAACACGTGGAATGAAAAGCAGGCTGATGTCACCTGGTTTTGAATTCTCGGTAACTCAGCTGATAATTAAAGCTTTGGGTGCACGCGGAATTGCGATGAGGGAAGAAACGAAAGAGAGAAACGTTAAGAGGGAATCGATGATACAAAAACAGCGATTCCTACATTCCGGCCATGTATGGCACTACCTGGCCATATAAGGGAGTATCGCGTATGCACCTTCCTTAGGGAGGAAGCTTGGTAGTTTTACGTTTCTACACGCGAGTCGGACATATGGGGAAGAGAAAAGAATAGGCGACCAAAGGAGGATGGAAGTGTATCTCCCGTGGCAAACTCGTTGCACCCGCTGCCGTTTCACAAGAAGAGATGTCTCCGCCACGAAAAAGAGATCCTCATACCTAAAGATTCTCGTCATCAGATGATTACCTTTTATTCCTCGGTCTAGTCGCAAAAGTGTCTTTTAACGATTCGTGCAGGTAGATGGAATAACGGGGGAATAATATTGAAAATTGGTTTCTCGAGTAGTAAGCATATTAAACGCTATTTCACTGAATAATGTTAGCACTATATTGCAAATCTAAATATGAAATAAGTATCTTCACATGCAATTTAATTTTTGTGTAAATATACGTTTAAATGTGTAAATCAATTTTTTGTATGCAGTACATTTACTTATTTTTAATACATCTAAGTTGAAGCATTTATTACAGTTGTTATATAATTAGATTTACAGTGTATTAGCTGTAAAATTAATATGTTTATGTATATTAGAGACATAAAAAAAATAAAGAGTTTCTTCTGTCTAAATAAGAAAATGTTTTTAGTTTTCTCCTAGTTTTTTCTAAAAAGAAAAACTTAAAATGCGGATGTAATACATAAATACACTTTATACTTTACAAGATAAAATAAAAAAATATAAGTTACTAAATAAGCGTGATTATTAAATTATTACACAAAATTAAAAATTTTTAATTACAAATAAACTAAAAAAAGTAATTAAATAATCCGTTAAAAATGAATTATATCCGTTATAAATAAATTATTTCTCAAATAGATGGATCTCAGTTTAGTAAATCTTCATGCATTTAATGGTTAAATAGATGATAACGCGCGTTAATGTAATTATAAGTAATTATGCCTTTCATAGATATAATTGCATATACCGTTTCCTCAATATTCTTACCACAAAGAATTAGAAACGCAGCTAGAATAAAACAAATTGATATACGCGGAAGAAGATAAAGGAAGTCACTTATAAATTTCCAACATAAAGAAACGCATTGCTTGCGGTAAACTTATTCCAGATCCAGATGATAACGAGGTGAATGGTAAATTATCGTCACAAAACAGTGCCAATCGTACATCTCGTGCAAGAATGGCTCGGAATAATAGCAGAAATGTACACTTTCATTTCGTTCTTAATGCATCTCTTCTAATATTCAAGTCGCCATTTACCGTAATGGTTTACTAAAAGAAATTAATTGAGAACTAACGGTGTGTGTGTGTGTGTGTGTGTGTGTGTGTGTGTGTGTGTGTGTGTGTGTGTGTGTATATATATATATACAGTAATTATCCAAGTTACTTCTAAACTTTCATCTACAATAATATTACTTTTAGATATTTAAAATAGACTTTTCATATATATATATAAACGCATCAAAGTATCAATAGTTTTTAAAATATATGATATATACGATCGAAGTATAAGAATTAATTAATCAAATCTGACATGCAGAAATTAAGATATAACAAAAGCTTCAATCAATTATATTCTTGCTAATGAAGTTTTAAGAGATATAATAAAAGAAAAATATTTTTTAATGATATTAAAATTTATAAAATATATTAAAAATGCAATAAAAAAGATTTCGAAACACCCATTATATATATGATCGAGAAAGGCTTGTTTATGTCAAGTGGCGCCTGGTTCGCCGTTTATTAATGATCTTAAGTCGCCTCCGTACTATTACTTAAAAAAAAACTCGAGAGAGAGAGAGAGAGAGAGAGAGAGAGAGAGAGAGAGAGAGAGAGATAGGAGGGACGAAAAACGGGATCTACCGGAAACAAGCGGGCCGGCAACCCCGTTGCCTGTAAAATCAGCTCCCGCTAATCATCCAATCGCGTAATTGCACACGCGCGGCTCCATAAAATCGACGATAATTAACGATGCTGAGTGCGGCCGTGAGGATTTTCGCAAGGACTATTGATAATGACACGGTTAGTCGCGCTCGTAGCGGAACGAATGCTGCGAAAAATGCATCGTACTCGTTGCATCACACATGTTATTAGTATAACTCTTCTTATATTGGTTTAACACTTCCAAAAAAAGAATTTCAAAAGAAGCAACAAGATACAATTGTGAAATAAAGAGTATAAAATAATCTCTTAATTTCTATACGAATAACTTTCTATATTTAACTTTTATCAAGAGAGCGAGCGTGCGAGAATAAAATTATTTTATTGCCGATAAAATAAAGCGCCATTAAAGAAATTACATTGGTAATATCTGACATTTAAATACTAAATCATTGTAATGAATGAGTGAAGGTGAAGACGAATCATTTTCGATGACGATCAGGCACATAAAGGTGCGCCGATTGGCAGCCTGACATTTGTATGCAACAGGTTATTAGAGATAGGTCGTTATGTTACTTTATGGCTAGCAGTTAAAGGGCTCGCGCGAAAAATGCACTTCGACGTGTTTTTAGTAAGGGCTAATTATCCGCGTTTTCAACTCTGGCAACATTCGACGTCGATGAATACGTTGTGTTATTTGCACATGTAGCAACATTTCTGGACCCTTAATGGTAGTTGCAGGTTTTTTATACGTCAGTTGAGTAATTTCTTTCTTTTTCTTGGTTTTGCAATGTTAAACTAATTTATGGGGACAAGTTACAGTTAGCAAGTGCATAAATGTTGCTTGATGTATAATAGTAACTTTATTTTCTACGAAAAAGTGTTCGATTAATTTAATTGTACTTCTATTATTGATTTAATTATATACCTATTAAAATGCAGCAAATGTGTGCGTAAAACTATCAAGAAATTCACTGAAATAAAATAAGATTGGTATTGCAAGACAATGATATTTTTTTCGGGAGGAGCGACTGTAAAAGAAGATAAAATCATGCGTAAAAAAAAGAAGCTGATATATCGGCGGATCACATTTTTCGAGCTTTATGAAACGAGAACCATGTCCTCACCTCGCCGTTCTCCATGGGGGTTTGTCTGGAGTACTGGCTGGTGCATATGACCTCGTCGTCGGTGACGTAAACGGGTTTACCCGCGACAGGCGGTGCCGAATATCTCGTCCAGCATTCCCCATCGCTCGGCGCATAATACTGCCATGGCTGGAAGTTCTCGCCATCCAGAGATCTCTCCAGAATCCAAGCCGCGGGTCTCGGTGAGTTCGCAGACTTCACTATCACGTATTCCACTTGATAGACCTGAAAAAATATAATAACGCCAACTTGAATGCAAAGATGTTGGTAAAAGAAATTATATCGATAGTACAGTTTCCTAATTAATTATTAAATTGTAAAACAACAAAATTAATATAATAATACCTGAAATATTATCACAAATGCTAAAACTTATATATGAAATTATGTGTACGTTAACCTATTATTGCACTAAAGGTGGATCAACAAAAAATTTTGGTGTATATTTACAATAACAAAAAAGAATTATTTCAATCAACCAGAAATTTTGGTATATTTAAGAAAAAATAATTAATTCTTATCAGGTCTAATTTCTAGGGAACAGAGGAATTCTAATTTCAAAGACAAACTGAAGGAATGTACCAAATAATGTTAGAATTTTCAATTAAATTATATTGTAACTAGATTTCTTTTTCAGTAAAAATTAAATATAATAAAGTTTAACACACATAGCGCAATAATATAGAATTTAAGCGTAATTAGTGATTCAAATTTTCGAGATTTATGAAAGTAAAGTTCGTATTCTCTCTGCACCCGCGACTCTTCGTATCATGTCCTCGTTGCAGCCCACTAAGATAAAAATCACGAGCTCAATGCCGGAGGCTGGATTTGCAGGTCTCCCGCGGTTCGTCGGAAACCCCGCCGAGACCAGAATCTCAAATAATTAATTCCAAGCCACGGATTGCGCAAAACTAGTTAGTGCTCGCTCGCGTCCCATCGACGCGACGAATAGAAGAACACAATATCGTTATAATGCGCCACTGCGTCAATCTCTCTATCTTTTCATTTCAATCGATCATTCCAGGAAAAATATCACACCATTCAGAACCGGATATTAAAACTGCTGTCTGCGCTTAAAATGCGTCAACTGCGATTTTGTATGCGGTTTGAGTAGACAAGCGATGAAAATCGGCCGCTACTTGCTATCTTTTGCTTGCCTTATTACCTTTTCATTGTTTGCATGTTAAAAACGCTATGAATCGATAGTTAAGTACTTTATCCATACATTACATACTTTGTGCAGGCCCCGCTATCTCTCGACTATGTCTTGGTATCGCCGGATGTAAATGGTGCAAATTTTAAAATACAATCTAGCGTAGCAAATCGTTAACGGACGCATACGTAGGCGAGTATTACATTACAGGATGCCTCGTTGAATACTAGGTACCTATCGTACATTATTATCTTTACATAACACACGATGTTATATGATATTTTAAATAAGCACTTCTTCAGCTAAATGCTAATACATTTTTAAATACGATGTATATTTTAATTAACCTTCACTGGGAAAGCCATTATAGTGAAGCTAAAATAACATCACATTTAGAGGTAAGCAATATAAAAAAAAAATGTAATGAATTATAACAAATCTTACTCGAGGAAAAACTATAAGATTTTAAAAATATAGACCCCTACTCTCTAAAGATTAATATAGCGGTATTAAAAAAACACTGCGAAAGAAATCTTCGGTTAAAATTAAATAACAAATATAAATCCAAAGTGAAATTAAATACCATAATTCGATTAAAATTTTTTTTTCATTTATGAAGACGTCAAACATTCTAAAACTTTGGCGAGTCCCGAATGTACGAGAGGATGTGCAGTCACATGCATCTCCGACTGCAGTCGTGATTTAACAAGACGGGAGTCCTTCATCCTACTGTCGTTTCACGTCTTTGTCGTTGTCGTTGTCACTGTCGTTGTTCTCGTTGTGTCGTCGTTACTCCGGCATTGTGAGACCGGACCGACGCCCACTTTCGGACCATAAAGACAGATCGCATGTCCGCGATACCGGCTTCGTTTCCTTCTAAGGACTTCGTCCGGAACGGCCGATTCGGAGACCCGTGGAGAAGCCGGCTTCAATTATCCGGCCCTTTTACTTCGTAGACGAGGATACGTGCGGCTCCGTGTGTGAATGTGGGCATTCCGCGATCGCCTTTAGGCATTAGAGAATCGTTACATCGGCGATCGAGAAGTAATCTTTAATTTGTGCGACCAATGGCCTTGCTGTATAAATTATACGACGTATTGACGTGACGGGCAGCATTAACGAGGATGTAGCCGTCTCGTTTAGCATGTGAAATGTGTGAACATATATATGGCAGCATTGAGGTATATATCGCTGCAGGGGAATACGTTTTGCGCATCAACATTGTTATGACAGGAGCAAGGAAAAAGGGAAAGCGTTACGAGGCAGTCTCTTCCCGTGTCTTCCCTGCCTTTTACCAACTAAATATTTGCGTTGGCCGCACATGCTCCTCCGGTTTCCAGTTGCCTTCGGCATCACGTGCCTCGTCATATGGGGTAGGTCATAAGCAAACCACGTATGCATTACTGGCTCAAGGTTGCCCTCTTCCGATCCTCGAGGTTGGATATTCCACGCGGACGGTGCATACGTGAACTGCAGAGTTTATCGCACCAGCACACGACAGAATTATTGAAGGATAAGGTGTGTTTAAACGAACGACCGCATGCGTGTCTGACAGGCTACGAAATAAACGTCGTTTATTTTATGGACTACCATTCAAGGAGAATGAACAAAAACTAGAAGTTAAATCTGGAAACACAAATGAAGTTTTTGCTACTACATGTGTTTATATTCTCGCTTTAATTTAATGTATCTTCGCATTCTCATATTTCCTAAATACGATAAACAAAAAATTATTTGGGCACAATAAATTATATCTTTTAGGAATTCATATGTATGATAAAAATATAACTTTTATAACGTCTTTTCTCAAACTTAAAGATTGAAATGGATAATTAACTCTCCGTATACAATCTGGGTCTTTCTGGAACATGCGAAATTTTACTGTCAAATTTCTCCAAAATAAAGGCTGGTGGAGTCTGATTTTCTTATTGAGTTATACATTTTTAACAATTTCTTATTTTTACTGAAATTCCTTTTTTTTTATTAAATATAGGTTTTAACACATAAGTAAAAAGATTCAAATTGCAGACGGAGGATTAATTAAACTTCATTTTATAATCTTTCTGTAAATTTATGTTTCACATATTATCACGAAAGATATAGTTTATTTTTTAATTATCATATTTTGTATTCATTTTCAGGAGCGATATTATCGCGTGAGAGCTTGTCGATACTTTACAGATCGTGTTAAGGTGTTCCAGGACGGAATACTTGATTCAAGGGATCCGTTTACGTTCAGTGGAATTAACGCATGTAAATACTAGAGGCGGGATTGGATAGCTTTGGATGAAGGCACGTCGAGGGCCGTACTTGACGTACGCACCTTGCTTCGACCTTCCGATATATCCAATGGCGTAGACATCGCAGTCACGCTATAAAAATTACTAAGATTTGCTGAATTGCACAATTAAGAAATAATTTTGCTTCAATACAAAATTGCAAGCTTTTACAATCTAGTAATAATTTGCGTCAACAAAATTGTTGTCCTGTATGATTATATTTTAATCTATATTTTAATCTAAGTCTATTTCACACTTGATATTTCTAATTGAGCAGACAACTGACTCCAATTAATTAATGTAAAAAGTAATAAAAATAATTTTCCATTATTGCATTCAATATTAATCCCTTCAGACTCTGTATACGTAATAAACATCAAATTTAAAGAAATTACCCGTTAAAATTATTTAATTTTATCGACAATCATTTAAGATCAGATGTACATAATATGCATATGGAAAAACAGTCAAAATTAAAAAAAAAATGAGTTGTTTAGTATAAATTACTTATTAAAATGCGTTTGAATTAAATTAAAAAAATTTTGTTAACATTCCAATAAAATCAGCTCTGAAGGGATTAAATCGAATCGCAGTATTATGCTCTTTTCATATCGAACTATGGGCACTGACAATGCCATTTTAGGAGTACCATGATTTCTTTCGCGAAAATGAAAAGTGGTCGCGCTCGATCTCGCGCTCGGTATCCAAGAAACATGAATTGTGTTTTGCTTTCGTGGTCTCCGTGGGGAATTCTCGAAGTACCGTCCATGGTGACACTGGCGCGAGAAATGCAACGGACGGCTCCCACGATCACGGACGATGGCTTCTTTCGACGTTAAACGCATCCACAACCTTGTAAGGATGCACCTGGTATTAGCATCGGATGACAGAAATGGCTTTATAGCTATAAAGATGCGTACAAAGATAGTCGAAAATCTAAAGGATCAATGTCCTTTCTTTAGATAACGCGATCAAAAAATGAATCAAAGTAAAAAAATATATACATATAATACATTAAACATAACAATGCTTTTATGTATAAATTTTGCACAACGCTGATTCTTAAAGTAGTAAGTTAGTCCGTAATAAAAAAGAAACGGAAAACAATCAGTTATTTAGCTTCCATTATAAAGAGTACATTTTTTAAATCTCTTCTTTAATTTAAATATTATTAGAATATTATTAAAATATTATTCGAAAAAAATGTTAATTATTACTTCGTTTCTTAATTTAGACTGTCAATTATATGATACTATCTATTCCTATAAGATCGCCGCAACAAATCAAATACTTTCACGTATAATCATACGGTCGATCACTCTTGACTGCTTCCCAAGAAAAGGCTTTACCAGAATTACTAACCAGTTAACTCGGACGAAGAAGAGCAGATATCATCGAACGCGAGATTGTGAACGACTCGCTGAGGTGTGGAAGTGGCAGAAGAAACTAAGGAGTCAGTATCGTAAATAGATCTCCCACGACTCGTAGCTGTTATCCGCGACAGGATCTCGAAGGAGAAGCGATCTCAGTGCTTACTCTCATTCGCGCGCGTCTACAACCGCGTTTTACAGTTTCACGCTCGCCAGCAACAATGAGCGATGTATGTTGACCATCGTTAGTGCGATCCGCGATAATAAACGAGCTGTGTAATCTCGGAATGACTTGAGATATCGCGATTAATAGCGGATTAATAACGGAAGATAAGAAAGGAAATGTGAAATTTTGTGATAATCAACAATTTATTGATGGTTTAAGCGACTGTATGTCGCTTAGTTTAATCCATCGATAAATCG